GGTAGGTAGGCAGGTAGGTAGGTACTGTAGGCAGGAAGGCATTTGAAAATGCATGTGTTAGGATACACACATACATCCGCCTATACTTTCATATTCGGGTGCGTTTGCATACATGAGTGTAGGCCGAAGGGTTACGTACAAGTACCCCTGCCTAACCGATTCCTGCGGTTCCGCAGTCTTCCACAGATAGCTCTGACCTCGCCAAAGCAAGCTCGCCGACAATTGGGCTGAGCACGATAGCTACAGTTTTGGAGTGGGTGCCAGCAGGCTGAACGGGTGAGAATAAGTCGCTGATTGCTGCTGGCAGTTCTGCGTGTGCCCGTGCATTGCGATGTGCAGATCCGGTCGTAAGTGTGATCGTCGGCGGACGGGGGCATTGGCGAACCCAGCAGGAGGCAGCGCGGCAAAAGGGCACCGGAACAAGCGCAGAAGGGTCTGTAACAGTAAACGTTAGCTGCTTCTCTTGCTCGGGTGCGATTTGTTGAGCAGGGCAAGACGCCACAGTCGCCGAAATAGGCTTCCGAACTGCTGGTGAAAACCGACTGACACCACCCGCACATCTACAGTTTCATGATCAGTTTGGGATAAGTGGTGGCGCGGACTTGGGTCGTGCTTCTTTCGGCGAGCGGCTAGGTTCACGATGCCAAAGCAAGCAAGTCGAGAGTCAAATGAATTACTGCAGGCCAGTCACAGCGCGGCCAGTGCGGAACCCTCGACTTCTCTAGTTTTTGCTAAACCTTCAGTACGCACCTCTGGCATGAGGGTGCTGATGGTATAGAAAAGTTGGTGTGGTTCACCCCCAACGCAATAGGCTTCCTTGCGCCATGCAACCTATCGCACTGTTCATGCAGGGTTATATGTAGGCTCAGGCATGGCTGTCACCGAGGTACTCGACTTCTCGGTATATCCTCCGCTCAGTATGGTACCCATCGTTCTTTCCGATGGGGTGTGGCATGGGATTCCTGACTCCCGACCACCCTTGCCACCTGCCCCCTCCACTACCACCCCCTACAACCCCTTCCCAGCCGCCCCGACTACACCCCCCCCCTGTGGCGGTAGGAGGGGTGTGGAGGCTGTGGATGATAGTGTCACCGACCTCGAGCTCGATAGCCAAAGGAACCCTGCAGAGCTAGGAAGACGCGAAGCCACGTCGAAAAGCTTCCAGGTATGTCTGACAACAGATCATTCCACATATGTGGCATTCAGAATGCTGAGCAGATTTTGCCGGAGCATGACGTCCCTGGGGTCTGATCCCAAACCCCTTAATCAGCTAACACAGTTATGCAGTCAAAGACACAGAAAGTCTTCACGAAAGCCCAGGATCGTGAGGGCCAAGCTTCAATACTTTGAGACCACCTACTATTTTTCCGGCCTCTTGGTGGGAGTGTGGCCAGGAAGGGATCCTGAATTACTGAATTAAGTCTAGGATGCTGGCAAGACCAGAGGACTTATTGCACAGTCGCCACAGTCAGGAAGCCTTGCAGTACCATGCAAGTTACCACCCAGTAATTTATGCTAGCCACAGGGGAAAAATTCGACCTGCAATACAGCTGTTGCAGAACATGTCTTGTCTGTTGGCCACCGGGCAGATCTCTTGGTGCAATGCAGCATCTGCAGCCAGAAGCCCAGGCCCGAGCCGTAGGACTTTAAAGGCTGAAGAATTTGTAAGGCGTGCAGAGGCCGCGCCGCACGTGTAACAGCTACAGAGGCTCCGATCGTGCGCTGACGAGGGCGCGCCTCGAAGCGCTTCGGGCCGCGCTGGAGGAGGAGTTGCTGCCCTTTCTGCATCCAGGCATCGAGAGTGGATGGTAGGAACAGAAAGTAGCTTCGATAGGGGCGAGACATGGTCCAATGGTGTGATGATGTGTGGTCAATGAAGGAACTTGGCAGTATTGGGAAAACCTCTGTGGCAAGAAGCCAGAACAGGCACATGAAGTGTTGAGCAGGCAGCCTATGCTGGTACAAACATTTGCTTTTGCCGAGATGCTTGCTTTCCCAAGTCAGTCAAAGCCACCGCAAGAGAACAACTTCAGCCCACATTGTGTCAAGGTACTCCCATGACGGGGCTTGGTGGATGGAGCCGCTGGCATGTAAACGAGAGCGACATAGAGAGAATGATCGCAAGGTGGTGACGGATGTGGACAGCGCAAGGGGCAACCCGGAGAGAGAGAGAGAGAGAGATTGTTTTGCACAACAAGTGGTCCCGAAGGATATGTCGACAACGGCCTCCCAAAAACAAAGGTTTGATGATGCTGTTTGTGTGATCTTCATGTAGCTGCTACATAGCGTCCCGGGGGATCAGAAACAGCCCATCGTACTGGGGGGAACCACCCGCGTGAACACCCTTGGAGCTAAATCGATGCCTCGTACGTATGTTACTCCTTTAGGTGGGTAGGATTGCTGTGTCATTGTTTGCAGTGCGCAAAAGGCTCCTTGGGAAACCATGTCACGCATGGCCTTTGTCTGAGAGTCGCATCCAATGCATGTTTCGCTAGCTCAGTTGTTGTTTGACATGCTTGCACTGTCTGGGCCTCAGTTTCTTTGCAGCCTGCGACCTCTCCGCGAGGACAAAGAACGTTTCTGGGGGAAAATCCTCCGTAATTTCGAAAGTCGTAAAGACTCTCGGGGGAAGCGTGCTAATAGATTGAATCCTCCGGATCCTGTTTTGAGTTCAGTGAGGTGCAAGGGTTTCCAGGTCGGGGGATTCAACATTGGCACCACTGCATGTGTCCTGGAGAGCATACAATCACCTTGCAACGTTATCGTACACTTTACGGCCTTAGCCTTCCAGGTGATTTATGCTCGTACTTCACTCCCTTGCGCCCAACTAATAATGTTGGGTGGGCATGATGCCCGGGGGATTTGA